TAGCGTACTCTCTTTTAATGAAGAAACGTACACACTCCCATATAGGCGGCTCAGCCACCCTCCCCCATACGCTTACACACTTTCACACATTCAGACATCTACCGTTTCAGCATGCGTATCACTGTAACCGTGCTAAATAACCGTGCATCGCTTGAAATGACACAAACCCATATAAAAGACACAAACAGCATGCACACACTTGTATTGACCCAGCAACAAGCTTTTTTTTCACACACGTCACGTATGTAGTATTGCCATAGCAACAGGAGCGCACACATCGTCTGCTCCTCAACAAAAGATTTTACGTGCCGCTGGTTTTCTGCTCTCGATTTTGCGTTTTCCCAAAGCCGCAGCAGTTAATTGAGCTGAAATTTGCGCCTCTGTTATAAGACGTCACCATTAATACAATAATGGCGTTATTATGGTATCTTTCTTCATGTCATTCCAGCTCTCCGGACAATGATTCATCCTCAGAATGCGTCATCTCTGTGAAAAGCATTTGTTGAGCACTGGAAGGAACATCCTGTCTCCGTGCGCTCGTTCGCTGTTTACACCTCTGACTGATGCAAGCATTGTGTCAGCCCGCCACGCTGCCCACTGCCATGGCAACACTCCGGCTGCATGTTCCTCTCCCATCTCCCATCTGAAAAACATACTTTTAAAACATTAGTCCATCCTGAAATGGACTATTAAAGTGTGTTTATGATTTGGTGCAGCTTCCTTTGTGTTAGACTGGCAAATTAGGTGTGTTTGTGGTTACCTTGACCATTTCAAACATATACAGATGCAAAAAGAGCACTCTGTTCTGTCCTGAAACGTTTCCTTAGAAGCAAAACTGTACAAATGTACAAGTAATTTTTTTATTAGAATACATTTGTGAACAGGCCTTTTTGTTACACGTGGGGCCTGTTTCACCTTGACACGTGCTCATGTCATGAACCTTCAGAGGACAGGACGACATTTACGCTCTTCAGAGAGGGACAGACCAGGAACACGTCTGCCCTTTGTGTGCACAAAGACAGTGGAAAAAGAGACAACTGAAGGAAGCAGAGGAATGCTAATAGGAGCACTCAGTCATGTGGAGCGGGATGGTAATGGGACCTCATTCATTCTTAATGAACACATTGTTAATTTCACTGACGTACAGTAACAGCCTGAGCTGCGCCCTCTACAATGACTAGATATTGATTTGAATTTGGCACATTAGAGACCATTTTTTATAATGTCACATACCTCTTCATTTTAAACCTGCTTTTCTGATGATGTAAGAGTTTAACTATTTGTGGTTAATCTGCCATTGAATTAAATCTGAGGCAAATTGTACAAAATATATTTCATACTCTTTATACAGTTATGTGGTGCACAATTTTGGAGCAATGGGATTTAACTTTGGGAGGGACTATCTAAAATGTCACTGCAGAAAGAAACAACCACCACAAAACGTCTTGTCTTGGTTGTTTAGTATAAACACTTATGTACTTGAAGATTTAGCTTGTCGTGCTTAGTTTAAGACTATAAAATAAAATAAAAATAAGTCACATTTACTGTTGTTCAGCAAAGCTTTGTGAGGGTGAAATCCAGTCATTTCAATAGGGAATCCACATGATTGGGAATTTCACATAGGGGCAAAAGATTTCTCCATGCAGATTTTGCAAGAGGTTCAAGTTGGTCAAGTGTATTTGCCTCATTGACCCAACAGAAAGCCGTTTGGTTTGAAAGAGTGTGAGCTGTGCTTCATGCATGAGACTTTTTTTTTTGTTTGGCCTATTTGCAGATGTGTCACTAGAAACCTGCTTAGGACATGGTATAATGCCACTACACTGCAAACAAACTGTACAATGTACATTTTAGTTTACACTATTTTTTCTTGTGTCATTGTCACAGTGTAATTATGTGCACTGAGGAATATTAACTAACTACATGTACTTACTATAGTTAGGGTAGGATTAGGATTTGGTTGAGGGTTTAGCTGCATGTAATTATGCATAATTTACTATTATTACTATGTTAAGTACATGTAACATATGTAACAGACACTGTAAAATAAAATGTTACTACATTTTATAATTGGTTACACTCACGTAATGGACAGTTCTAGTTTTGTTTAGTAATGTTTGATCAGTCTTCATGATCACAGGTTTGATTGTTATCATTCCGGCCGTGTCTTTAGATGAAGTTCTAACGTTGATTATATAGCTGTCAGAAGTAATTGCACAATGGGAGGAAACATTTTATAGTTATATTTGTACCACCTCTGTCTCTTGTCCATTTGAAATCACAGTCTCATCTGATCAGCATCAGTTTGCCAGCAAACACAGATGGTGCGCAGACAGGGATTCTGGACCTCATTAGGAACCATGGTGTCATTTTACAGGCAGCACCCTATAGCACATTCATACGGGTCTGCACGGCACCAAATCTTAGAGAAGACTGTTATTTATTTATTGGCAGACGCACTTCTGTGGCTTGTGCCTGCCGAGAACAGCAAATATAAATGAAACATGTCACATGGACAATACAAACAAGATGTTTCTGAAACGCAAGTTCTTCGGAGAGCCAGGGAACAGTATGGAACACTTCTGAGCAGCTGTTGGATTGGAGAGAGGCTGCTTGTCAAGAACATGGGATGGAGATAAAGTACAAGCCCCACACCCAGGCTGCAGGCCGCTGGACGGAGAGCAAGAGAGGGGAAGGAAGCTGTTTTTATCTGGGTCAGAGTTTGGATCTGGAAGCACTTTCTTTTTTCCCCCCAGTGCTGAGCACCACCCTGTTTCGCAGTGTCTTCCACCGCAGCGCCATGTGGAAAATCCTGGAACATATTGCTGTTAAAGTGATGGATGGCAGCCCGGTGCGGAATGAGGTAGGGGGAATGTGGGATGGAAGGAAAAGTGCATCTGCTCCGTCCTTCACAAGGGGGTGTGTGTGCAGAGGAGATGAGATTACAGCTGAAGTCTTGCTGAAGGTCCTCGACCAGACTATAGGAATGAGATCACGTCTCGCTCTGTGATTTAAATTTTATTGTGCTTAGTCACAACATTCGTCATTAGTCTGATTGCGAGCTGCTTCTCATTCCTGCTAGTGTACATTGCTCTGATTGGGAACATTTGGACATGGGATATCATTCATTTTATTTGGATGTTCCTCTTTCTGATGTTAAGTGGAAGGGCAATGGGGGAACCAGGCTGTCCTAACAGATTCCATTCTTGGATGCCACCAAGAGGGAAAGTGCCCTGTGAAACCTGCAGGCCAATAAATAAACCATGTGCCTTGCAATGCTCTTGCTTTAAAATAGAAACTGGAATGAAAGCATTTGTATGCGTGTATGAATAATGCGATGGTTGCCACTGAAAGGAGGATACAACGTTTAGTCACACTGGTGATGCAATACTATATTTTTAAGACAAACCACAGCACCCACTTCGTTTCCAAACTACACACATCCTCATTCAGTGCAAACATGTTACTTTATGGCCTCATTTTTGCTGGTGTCACTTCTAAATTACAGATCTGATCTGACATTTATCATGAGCAACAGTGGAGGACCTAAAGGAGACATGTCATGGATGGCATATTTCACGCTAAAAGTAAAAAAAAAACCATCATCGCAGCATGACACCACAATGACACTGGCAATTTGTTCCAGAATATGAAATCATAATAACAATAAGCACAAAAACAATTGACCACCTATATTTACGTATCTTCAGCTACCAGTATTGACCTGCCCTGATGAACGTCACCTGTAAAACAGCATTTACATATTGAACTCTTAATGGCACAGTACTATTGAAAATACCTATTTTACTTTTGTTACACTAGACACTAACACTCCGTGGCGTCTTTTTAAAAAACATAATTCCACATCGAAAATGTAAAAATGGGGCTCAGTTCATGTGTTCACTAGGCCTGCTGTTTGATTGTGTAAATAACTGGAGCTCCTGTCAGCCCCCGCCCTCTCTCCACTCCTCATCACCATCAACAATTAATGGAAGTGCAGGGCGGATATCCCTCTCACCCTGCCAGACCCATGAGACACACACACTGCTTCACTGCTTGGCTCCTGCAAAGCGGAAATGTATAGCGTTGCCATGCCTGAGGTGTGAGTGCTTTCCTGTGCTTGTTTCAGATTCTGTGGGTCACTGGCCTTCATCAGATCGTTCAAATCTCTCTGTAACTGGAAATATGTTAGCGGCAATTGCAATGCTTATTGCTATTGCTCATACTAAGGCTTAGGGTTTTGTTTAAATCACTAAACCCATGCATTACATTTCATGGCATATCTTGCCCTGCACCGTATGTGCTACAGACACGGATGACATCTCTAATCATACAGCTTGCTTAGGGGCGGCTGTCACTGTAAACAATGTTCAAGACTAATTTCAGATTTAAGGTGTAGTCACATTTACTGTTTCTCTCTGAAATTTAATGGGCGAATTCCAGTCGTTTCAATAGGAATCCATGCGATTGAAGTTAAAGTTCCCCATGCACAATTTGCTATTTTGCTATCAACACATTTGCTGTGTTGACCAACAAAAAGCTGCTTGGTTTGAAAGTGACTTCTGTGTTCGCTATTGGCAATGGACACTGGTCATGTTTTTGTACTCAATTTCACTAATGTAACCGCACCTTTAAAATTGATCGTCGGAGAGATTTGTTCACACTTCTCAGACATTGTTGCACATGGTTTCTTGCTGCAATAAAGGTGTGGTCACACTTGCAAAATTTGGGCAAAATAGCTCAATCATCAATCGTATAGTGATGCATGAAGCACCATTTACACAGTTTGCATACATTTTCCAATAAATGTGAGCGCACATTAAATCTGAATGATGGTTTGCGTGGTTGATCCCTTAATTTAGAGGTCAAAGAAAGCGCTGGGACTGGTCAGTGGGTTCATTATTTACTCCAGCAATTTTTCGACTTTGCATTGTGTCCTTGTAGTGATAACGTGCTAATGTTTTACCTTTTTTTTGTTTGTGTGTTTGTTTGGTTTTTTGCAGGATGAGTTGGACAGTTTAAGTCCTGTTCTTAGGGACTATCCACATCTCCATGAAGAAGTGAAAGCCTGGGTGAAAGATCAAAAAGTTCAGGAAATTTTTATGCAAGGTAAGCTTGATCACAGTAGTAGTTCTTCCTGAACCGACTGCCAACTCACTTTTCTTGAACGGAATGCTCACTCTTCAGGATCCAAGACAGAAAAGTCCCTTCCTTTTCACTTGGTAAGGGTGTTGTTGTGGTCTTGGCAGAAGGTCTTGTTTACAAAGTCCATAACAAAATTCCAGGCCCACAATTAGTGATAATTGTTGAACTTGGCAGTTGACAAGGGCAGAATGGAAAGCATCTCAGAGCCAAAGGTTTTGGTGGGGAAACAAAAAGAAAAAAATAAATAAACGGCCTGTGGTTTTGTGCAAACGTTGCTCCATGGTTTATGTGCATGTGAAACTTGATGTCAGGGTCAGGGAGATGCATTTTGGGTTGTTGTAGGCACAAGGACAGCTAGCAAGGCATTTGAGCAGTGTATTCAGGAGTAATTAATGGGAATGACCTGCCCTGCACTAATGAGCTCCAGTCAGTTTGGACACCTGCCAGCGTCCACTGCGCCTAACCGCATATACTGTAGATACAAGGTTTGATGTGTCATTTCTGAGGTAAAGGTCACCCAGAATGAACAAAAAGAGAGCTTTTTTTTTGTTTTGTTTTTTTTCCATACAAGAGTAGACAGTGACCAAGGGCGGTTGAGCTCCAAAAAATATCAAAAAGGCACCATGAAAGTAATCTGACTCCTGCCCTGTTGAAATGAATTGAAAAATTAATGCAACGAAAAAAAATTAGGGTAGACAGATATGTGATAATGTGTATACTGGGACCCAGGAATAGACTACAGAGGACATAGTATAACATATGAATAAAATATATATATATTTTTTTTTTTTTTTTACCATGTGTTTCTTATGCTCTAAACAATGTGATGACATGAAAAAAAACTAAATTAAAACAAAAAAAAATTTCTGGGTCTCAGGAGGTTATAGAGTAGAAATGCCATGCTGAAATTAAATTAGTGTACTAATAAAAATCAAAGTGCGTTTTTGAAAGTGTTTCTGGTTTGTGATATCTCCAGGTCCCTATTCATTGAATGGCTACCGTGTACGAGTTTACAGACAGGACTCAGCCACCCAGTGGTTCACGGGCATCATCACCCACCACGATCTCTTCAGTCGCACTATGGTTGTCATGAATGACCAGGTATATCTGATACCATACAATGTTTTAGTTCTGTAAAATGTTTTGCTTAATAAGATAATATGGTATGAGATGCCCTGCTATTGATTAGCAAAATGAAAATTGATGGAAAAATTTATAATTTTCATTTCCATGGTTTAAAAAAACCCAACAACTCCATGCGCAGGTACTAGAGCCTCAGAACGTTGACCCTTCCATGGTACAGATGACCTTTCTGGATGATGTGGTCCATTCTTTATTGAAAGGAGAAAACATCGGTATCACGTCGCGACGCAGGTCTCGCTCTAGCCAGAACAGCAACACTGCCCACGTGAGTGTAACCTACAAGAGCACACGCATATCTCCATCCCTATATGTGCTTTTGTGAATAGATGATCTAGATCTAGATGATCAGCGCACCTGCCTTCCTGGATTAACATGGTTCACTGATAATATGCCAGTTTGTATTTCTGTCTTGTGCATGTCTGTCCCAGTGTCTGTTTGTGCTTCTTAATGGACGTTGTGTCTGTAGCTAGCTTTGAAGTAAAGTTCCTATGTGCTTTTTTAAGAAAACTATAGCCTTGTAGAAAACACATATCATTGCTCCCTTCATCATTAACAAGACTTCTCTGTTCCACCTTGTTTTTTTTTGTTTTTGTTTGTTTCCTTCTCTGTTCCCCTTGTTTTAAACATTAATTGGGGATATGCAAGCAGACCACAGGAGGGAGACCAAGCGGCTCTACAGGAATCACTCAGGTACCGGGCCGCACCCCCCTCTCTCCATAGATTTAGAGCTGCTTTTGTACCACCTGCATATCCCTGTCTATTATAATTATTTATAATTAATTTATTACAAGTGCTAATTTTCCAATTAATGCTTACCCCGATTACCGTTTCACGTGCTGTGCTTGCATGGATTAAATTTGGGGTGTAAATATTTTTTGAAATATATAGGTTTGGAAAGCATTTTTAAGAGCCATAGGAACTCTTCTTTTAAGCCTAGCTCTGTGACCATATTTTTTACAGTGTGTAGTGCAGTCGTTGCTGGCAAGGAAGTGTTTTTGATATTGGTGATTTTTAACTTAAAAATTCTCTCTCACTCTCTATAACCTAAATCCATTACAAGTCCTTTCATGCTTGTGTTTGTGCTCTTTTTGTGTTTTTCCAGGGTCATTACACACGTGCCCAGGCCAATAGCCCCAGACCTGTAATGAATTCCTCTGGCTCCACCCCCAAACAGGCCTCTCAGGCTCAGCAGCAGCAGCAGCAACAATCCCAGCATGTGCAGCAGCAGGGATTCCAGCAACACCAGCAGCAGCAGCAGCAGTCCTCACCAGGTCAACAACGCGGCCCACGATCTTCACGTCGGAAAGGTTCCGATAGCAGCGTTCCAGATGAAGAGAAGATCAAAGATGAAAAATCGGACAGTGGAGGAAAAGGTAAAACACCGATTGTTCTTACACTAATTACACTACTGCAGTGTATTGTGTTTCTTATACATTAAGGTGACAGGTAGGTCTGTAAAGTATGAAAGAATAAATAGAAAAAAAGTTGCTTCTGTCTTCCCCTACCTGTATTTCATGTCTTGCTCTAAACATGGTGAATGTGGAGGATTTTTGTATTACTTGTGTGAAATTTTTTCATAAATGATGCTTAAAGGACTGTAGGTCTGTGACTGAATTACTTTTTTCAGTCTTGTTTGGATTTTGATGACAAAACAAAACAGCAGTTGGAGCTCTTTCTTCACTTATTAAAGCTAAATCAGTCTCCTCTGGATTGATTGGATTTTCCTCTATTATGGCTTTCATGTTATACAAAGTCCTTTTATATTTGGCTCGGCCTAGTGCTTTATATTTAAGTTGACGAAACCTTCTAATGGATAGGTTCAGTGTTAGCTTCTTGGCTGGATGGCCACCTGGTAAAAGATCATTTAGATCCTTCCATCATAATTCCTGCAGTACAGTGTTTGGCAGGGTGCTGGGTCTGTGAGAGATGATGTGAGTGCAGCCACCGCAATGAAATGGACATTTTAAGTGTGCATAAATTCTACCAGAGTCCCATACATCACACTTCTAATGCAGCACTCAAGATTCAATCAGCCTTTAACCTAAGTACAAAATGACATCATCCTTATCCATTCTTTTTGTAGAGTTTTGTATGCACTCTTGCATAAGATTTGCTGGTGGCACGTTTTGTGTCAAAGTTCTTGTTTGTGTTGAAAGTTTTTCCTGACAGAGTGGGTCTCTTTTTTTCTAGATCCTTCTAAAAACAAAAGCAAGCAGACAAACAAGAGGAGGAAAGCAGATGAAGAAGACAAGAAGGGTAGTCTCAAGCGGCTCAAAACAGAAGCGTCTGACCTCTCTGAGAGCAGCGACTCTGAGAACTGTAACAAGCAGAGCGTAGACTCTTCATCAGAGCACAGTTCAGAGAATGAGCTCAAATGCAAGAGTGCTTCAAAAGTTTCTGAGGAAGAGGAGAAATCCCAGGGATCCAAGCCCGTGGACGAGTTGAGTGTAATCAACAGGCTGTCTCCCTGGGATGAAATGCAGGATAAATGCGTCAAGCCGGTGGCCGTGGAGGTAACTCAGCTGGCTGACAGTGAACAGTCTGGAGAAAAGAGATCTCAACTGCCTCCTCCGGCCTCCTGTACACAGAACCAAGCCTCTGTACCGGCAGAGGCCCAAAGCTGCATTGTCGAGATGAAAAGCACTGTGAAAACCCTCCCCAAGGACCATTACTGCACAGGGACACCTCGGACACACACGCCCAAGTGCGTGATTGATATCACAGAGGATGCAAACACGCAGCCCAGTTCCAGAGAGAACTCTGATGCCGTATCGGCCTTGTTGGCATCACAGAAGTGTGATGCCTACATCTCCGAATCAAGACATTTGGTGCTAAACGCCTCCCTCTCAGAGTGCAGGAGGCCGGATGGCTCGCAGCAGCAGAACGCTCGCAGCATAGGCAGTAAAATTGAATTCGCCCACTCTGAGGTCATAAGGCCGGTGACATCAGTGAGTGAGTCAGCAGCCCTGGGCGAGAGAGGGAAGCTCCAGCAGCAGTATACATCTATGGTCATTAAAAATGCCTCACTAACCGAGGACATCAGGAAAACCCATAAACTCAGTCCTTCTCCTGAATCGCCCAAACCTAAGTCCAACTCGTCCCCTGACGTCCTCAAGCCCAAGTGCAATCCTTCACCTGACATCATGAAGTCAAAAACTCACAGTATTCATGAATCCTCCAAGCCCAAACCAAATACATCCCCTGAGGTGTCCAAACATAAACCTCGCCACCCTGAAAATCTACCAACAATAGGCCGTTTGCCACTCAAACCTGATCCAGATGTACCCCGTTCCAGTTTTAAGCCTGTGCTAGCCCGTGGGGCACTCTCTGAATCCACAAAAAGCCCTCTTGTTGTCGACAAAAATGAGCATTTTACGGTGTACCGGGACCCTGCATTGGTGCGTCCTGAATCGGACAGCAACCACGTGGCGTACCTGCACCCACACCTGCATTCACTACATGGTTCTTCTCACACCACGTGTCTCACACCCAGCTCACACCACCCATCCCACCTCCTCCCTTCTCCCTCCATGAGCCACTCGGTGCACCACCCACACCTGCTGCCCTCCGTACTGCCCACAATTTCACCAGCCTCTCTCCTGGGCAGCCATTCCCGGCTGGATTCCACAGGACTCGGGCACCTGGCCTTGGCCCACCACCATTCCCACCACCAGCAGCAGCAGTTCATCCAACAGCAACAAGGGTTGCTAGCCCAGACACATGGAGGTGCCTCATATAACCAGCTTGGCCTCTATCCCATCATCTGGCAGTACCCAAACGGTACACACTCCTACCAATCTGGGTACAAGTGGGTACATCCAGAGAATGCTGTCAATTCAGACTCCAGCCTACGGAGGGTAAGTGTGTGTGCCTGTCTGTTTACTAGCCCTGGCCATAATAATTCATATAGACCGTATTGCAGCAATGTGCATTGTGAATTAAAATGTACAACGTGTGACTGAGGTTGTTGAAAGGAGATCCTTTAGAGGATGGACAAATACTCTTGTTTTTTTCTTGTTGCTGTCAGGGATTGTTTGTTTTGAACTCAGCCTGAAACAATTTACGCTAAAGCAATTAAAGCCAAGTTCACACTACAGGATTTTAAGCCCGATTTGCAAATCGTTGAGCTCGCCGACAGGTCAGGGTGTTATCGCGTGCAAATCGCGGGGGATTAGCGGACGATGAACGCTTACCAATCTGTTAGTTTGAAAGAGCCAACAACGCAGCGAAAACGCTCGCAGACGCCGAGCCGAGCCCAGAAAAATATCTAGCCTGCTAGATATCCAGAGCCGTCGCGCGACTCAACCTCAGTGATGTCATGAGTACAGCCAATCATAGCAACGCATGGGTTGAGGACACCAGGTAAATCTTAGTTTTTCTTTTTCTTTTTTTTTTTTTTTTTCTCAGAGTGTCGCGCAAACAGTGTGCAGCACTAGTTTCTGTCTGAAGTTCATATTCATGTGTTGTGTTCTCTTCTGCGCTGGGTATTGGCGCACGTGCTGTTTCGCGTCATTTCTGGTTCGTTACATTGCTGGTTTTTCGTGCCAAAATGTGGTTTGTAGACAAGATAGAATCGTTGGGTGACAAGAGTTGTTGTCAACTCGTTATTTATTTGATTATTTTCAGGATTTAGACCGTAACATAGTACTGAAACAGCGCTCATTAGAGTCAAAAATGATTTGCTCTTATCATCCGATCGTGGTTGTATCTCTATGTAGTGCGTTGTCAGCTCGTGTAGTGAGTTACCTCCTGTTGTGGATCAATCACGTTGTGTTGTGTGGTGTGAACAGCTAAACAACTTGAACACTCCTGATTTCACTGAGAGCAAGTCATGTTGTGTGAATTGCACAGTTCAGCCTGACGTTTTAAAATCATGTAGTGTGAACATGGCATAAGCTTAATGTGTGTGAGCATGTTCTTGTATGTGCTGCATCATGTCTGGACACATTTACTAGCTATTACAGATAGCCATTCATGATAATTCAGTCAAACTTAAAACTTTTTTTTTTAAGTTCACCCCAAAAATGAAAATTCTATCACTATTTGTCAACACCCTCATGTCGTTCCAAACCCATAATATCTTTGTTCATCTTTGGACTCAAATTAAGATATTTTTGATTTTTTTTTTATATCATAACTAACCTGTTCTGTCTAGTCTGTCGGTCTCCGAGTCCTCTTTGCTTTGTGATTTTTCTGTGCGTGACAAAATTGATGTGTGGCGTGAAAGCTTAAGTGCAGTATCCGAAAGTTTTGTCGCTATGGTTACACACACACACACACCGTTGGCGGTGCACTCTAAGTCATCTGTCAGTTGTGCATTTACCCAAAAATCTTCTGAATGAAGTTAACCCATCATATCACTGATATGTGCTTTACTAAATATTAATACATCAACATCTGTGCATAATATGTGTTTTTTAAATCAAGTGATCAAAGTGCTCATTGCCGCTGCCATCAGTGGTGCGGATACAATGTTTTCTCGTGTGGCTTGCACACACCGCACTGTCTTCACTCAATCCATTGCGGATATCGTCATGGAAATTGTAGTATTGTATTGCTAAATCCCCCGACCACTATGTCGGTCTGAAACAGTGAGACCTAGACAAGACCAAGACAAAGACCAAAGACCGGCAAGGCCGTGACAAGACCGAGACCACGTAAAAGTCTTGAGACTTCACATGCATCACTAGTGAGAGTGTGTGAAAAGTGTCAATTGCGTGTGTCTCACGGTGAATTCGTGAGAGTTGGCAGCTCTGAATGGCGCTAGCTTGGTCAACATCAGCGAAAGCTGTCTGTCAAATTAATGTAATTCAAACTAACAATAAAAATGTAATATAAACAAAACGAATATGAAGATATTCACTAGTACAGCTGAAGGGGGAGTAGCTTGAAGATGTCATATTTAAAAATCACTTGACATCAACCAACGTTCCTCTTGAGTCAAAATGTTCTGGATTTGGCTCGGCTTCGACTATGGCTCTAGGGTCGTTGTGAATGTAGGGGCGGAGCATACAGACTATGCCATTTCTCGTTTGTTTCTCTAGAGTAGACCAACTCATTTTCTCAAGGTATACTGCCCCCATCTGGTATGGAATGTGGAGTATGAATTGATTTTTTGGCGGACATTACACTGGGCACCTTTAAGAAACATTCTGGGTCAAATACAAGTTTAGTTATATTAACAGCTTCAATAGCTATCTTTCCATTCACCCAGTTTTATACGCATTTTGGGATATCAAATAATAAAACACTGGATGGAAGCACCAAGATGCACATAAATTCTAAAAATGTACAAAAAAACTTTTGCGCTTATTTGAGTCGGATCAACTTATATAAGATGAGAAAACATGCACATAAACTATGATGGAAACTCTTTTACCGAATGAATAAATTGATGCACATCAAAAAAGACATGTGACACCACAACAGGACGGCATAACTGGACAAACTAGCGTATCTCGTTCCACAGCATTTCAAATGCTGATTTGGTCATTTTTAAATGCCTGAGGAAAGTCTGTCATCAAAGTGGTTAATCATAATTGCCTCCCAGAACTGTCTTACAATACTACTTAAGATAATGTGATCCAGTTTATTGCGTTTCGTCTGTGTGCTCTTGAGGCACATGTAATTTTTATATATGAAAATTAGTATAATATGCACTGCCTTTTTCTACTGCAGTAACTTACATTTTTCTTATATCTTTCTGGTATTAAGCACTTGTTTATCAGGAAGTGATGCTTTTGTTCTCTGCAGTTCACTGGATGGAAACGCTACTCTGTCTCCAATTTTTCCCATAAGTTGAATTAGCAACTATGGATGGAAACATAGCTAATGGCATGAAGGGTGTTATACCACAGAAAATAATACAATAGTTTCCATATAGACCTTTTCCATTTCTTTCAACCCAGAATATTCCAAGATAATGTAACTGAACTGTAATTACTTTGTTTTATATTGTTCATTATAAGCATGTGTGAGAGAAATCACAGAATAAGAGACAGTCATTCTTATGCGCAATTTGTGTGTTCTGACTTCTGTTAGAGAAGTGTATGTTGCCTTGAGTGCATTATGACCTTCTGAGTGTGTGTGTTGCAGAACACTCCCAGCCCCTGGCTGCACCAGCCCACCCCGGTAACCTCAGCAGACAACATGGGGATTTTGAGCCATGTCCCGGGCAGACCAGCCAGTGCAGAGCCTCATAGACCCATCAAGATCAGCTCACACTCCAGCCCGCCACTCTCCAAAACCCCTGGAGAACTCCACAAAGAGTGAGCATGCATACACTTGTGTCTCTCTTTCTGTCATTAACACACACGGTTAATCCATTCCCAGAGTCCTGCAGTGCCTGGAACTGCAGCTAGCTGTTAAATACCTTGTGACCAGAGGTGGAACAAATGCCATGTGATAGGAGCACTGTACGCTCATTCAGTGACTGGGCGCATAATTAAACTATTCTATTATAGCCCGCTGAATGTCTGTACTCATTTGAACCACCTCCAGTGCAGTTACCTAATATCTGAGAAGGAACATACTGTAGCACCTACCCTAAAATAAATATTAGTCCATCATCTCTATAACTATTGTTCAAATCGCTCACACATTAAAATATTTAATGTGTTTGATATTTTCAGATATGCTGGTATATCTGATTGTTTTTTTTTAAACATTTGTAACTGTTTTCTATCATTGCATTTTTTACGGTGTTGATTTTTTTTCTTGTATGGCTGCTTCAGGGATCAGGACAAGAATGTGTTTGTAGACCCTCTGCGTGGGCTGTCCAGTGTCCACCTTAAGCAAGAGCAGGACCGCAGCCGGACACCTAACAATAAGGAGCTACATCGCCTCTACATGGAGCCACCCCACAGCAAGCAGCAACTACCACCACGCATGCCTCAGGATGGGCCCGACCGCACCAGCAAATATAAAGAAGAGAACCGCCGCATCCTTCTGGAGAGCATTGAAATGGCCCCCTTCACAGCCAAGATTCGCGCCGGAGAGACAGAGCGTGAGCCCTACTCCCGCATGTCCTCCCAGCCCAAAAGCCATGAGAAAGAGGTGGAGCACTCTGTAGCTGATCTGTACAAGTACAAACACTCTATATCCCAGTCCCTCCCGCAAACCAACTACTTCACCACACTGTCAAATAGCGTTGTAAACGAGCCACCACGGCTTTTCCAATCCAAAGATCTCAATCCGTACTTCGACAAGGCACCTGCAACCTCTAGCCCCTTGTCTTTGAGCTCGTATAACTCTAGCCACACCAAGTCTTTGTCCAAGCCTCCCCCTCTCATTAAGCACCAGCCAGAAGGAGAGGGACTGGTGGGTAAGATCACCGAACAGCTCAATCAACAAGCACCCATACACTCACTCAGTACCTCAGTGGTGACACTCAGTGAACGCTGCAGCCCAGCCATCTCTCCCTCAAGTCAGCCTAAGGGCATGCCAGCCTTGCGTAGAGCACCAGTCTTTCGCCCGCCCACCCAAAAAGCGATTGACCGCAAGGAGGGGCCCTACGGTCGCCTTTCCCCACCCACACTCACCCCAATCCAGCCTGTTAGCTCGGCAGGAAAGGTGTCAGAACAACAGAAACCACCCACCCTGCTCCCAGAGCTCAGGGACGAAAAAAGCGGAGCCGAGCTGGGCTCGGCAGAATCCTGGCAGACTAGCGGGGAAGCAAAGAGCCACGAGAAAGTGGCCTGGCATTCAGAGAATAGCCAAGGGAAGCCGCAGGCAGCCATGGCATCTGTTATTGTCCGCCCTTCTTCTTGCATAAAATATGACGGTTCTCTAGGTCCCAAGATTGCCTCCAAAGAGCAACTTGGTGGCAGATTGTTTGCTGGCCGCACTCAGTCAGACTGCCTGAAAGTGGCCGGGAGGTGGGAATCTGGGAGAGTCATCCTACCAAACACAAATTTGGAGGATCCCAGTGATCAGTACAACAAAAACCTGATTAGAGCATCACCAGGTGTCGTTCCCAGCTCAGTAGCAGTTGTGGCCAATTCTGTGTGCAACACTAGGACTAATGAAGCAATTTCTACTGCCAGCAGCACGTTTAGCACGCAGAGCTACAATGGAGCAGATCTTTTGTTCACTAGTGATAGTTCCAGACTGGAAAGCACTGCTTCCAAAATCCGCCCTCCCGCTGTTGTTGAGTCACAGGAGGGAGGTTCGAGAACAACCTCCCCTAGTTCACTGTCTCAGGCCTGCTCTGCTGACTCCACACAGGCCTACTCAAAGAACTATGTTCACCTGAAGAAGGCCAAAGCGGCTCTGGCTGCAGCACAGTCTCGTGGTTCCAGCAGCGCCTCTGAGAGTGAGAGCAGTAGTGTCAGATCCTCTCAGGACTCGCCCACCATTGCCCAGGATAATTCCATGCCCAGCAATCCTCCCAGCAAAGCCAGCCCATTGCCCAACGGACAGCCAGCACAGGTGTGCCAGTCGAACTACCACAAGCTCAAGAAAGCCTGGCTCACACGACACTCGGAGGAGGACAAAAACACAAACAAATCTGAAAAGGGTGGGAATCCCATATCTGAGCTAATTAAGCCATGCTCCGTCAACCTGATTGCCCCTGCACCTAGTGATGTGGATCTAGGCAAGGACAGCAAAGTACAAGAGGACAAGATGTCTCAGGAGGACAGAAAGACACGGCGTACCCTCAAGCGTTCCTACGAATCGGGCTCGGAGAGCGGCGATGACTCCGACTCCAGTGAGAGCAAGCTTGAGCAAAGGACTAAACGGCAACCCAAGCCCACTTACAAAAAGAAGCAGAACGACCTGCAGAAAAGGAAGGGAGACAATGAAAAGGAGGAGGATGAGGTGAAGCCAAATGGTATTTTCCGGAGTGCCAAGGAAAAAACCAAACTCAAGCTGGCCAGTACTAGTAAGTGCACCTTAGTTCACATCACAGTTTGAACATGCGTGTTTAGTACACTTCAAAGTCATTTAGCTTGCCTGGTCTCCCAAGGGTCAAAAGTACATTTTTTAATGAAATTTTAGTTTCTATGGCACATTTAATATTAGATATTAGATAAAATATTGAAAGTGAATATGTTAGTACATTTTCCAAGTGTTGTTGTATTGAAATTTATTCCCAGAATAAAAGCTTTAAAATGTAGTAATTCCTCCACCAGTGAACCAACTTTTTTTTGGATAATGTCACCTAGGCTAGAAATTATTTTAACCAATACCTAAATAACTATAACTATTCAATTTTTGTACTGTGGGCAATGCAGCTTTTATAAAAATTTGGCAATCATTTTTAGTAGTTGATAGTTAAAGTGTTAGTTAACCCTAACATGAATATAATGTCATTATTGACTCACCCTCGTGTCGTTCCAAGCCTGTAAGACCTCCGTTCATCTTTCGGAACACAGTTTAAGATATTTAAGGTTTAGTCCGAGAGCTTTCTGTCCTTCCATTAAAAATGTATGTACGAGATACTGTCCTTGTCCAGAAAGGAAATTGTATTCAGCATTGTATTGTCTTTCGGTTCTGTTGTCAATCCGCGTTCAGTGACGCTGCTGACGTAAGACGTTGCTGACGTGTTATCGGTGCTATTGGATTTCGTGTTTTACAGTGAGGACCATCTCAAGTAAAATGGACTGTGAATGCCATTGTGAATGTTTCATGTTAAGTGTGTGTGAGAAAGAGAGGTGTGTTTGGTGAACATCTGGATGGCAGCTGTGCAAATAGCTTTTCCTAGAATGCTCACGTTTATGTGGAAAACATCTCCAAGAGCACTTGGGTTTTTATTAGCGCTTTCTGATGATTGCTGTGTGCAAAATGGAGGCTCTTTGTAACTTCATACTGTAGCTTCTAAAGCTGTAGGTCACTGTAACGGTCACAAATGTCAGTTATGCTTGCTTGTGGTTACAACTGAAATATTAACTCTTCAAACCTTGCACACTTCTCTCACTATCCCCACCTAGTGATAGACTGATATATATCCCGGCCACGCTATTTATTGAGTAATAAATGTGTTTTTTATTTATTTTTTTATTTGTATGCAATACATTGTTTAATGGATTAAGTAATGTAATCTATGATATGCAATCTGTGGAAATAGATGGCATTCCCCGATCAGTACTGAAGGACTGGAGGAAAGTAAAGAAGCTAAAACAGACGGGCGAGTCCTTCCTGCAGGATGACTCGTGCTCTGAAATCGGACCCAACTTACAGAAATGCAGGGAGTGTCGTTCCATCCGCACTAAGAAAGGGGAAGAGTCGGCCCACTCACCTGTCTTCTGCCGCTTCTACCACTTCCGTCGGTGAGTATAAAGTGAGGAGCTACATACCATATTTGCTGTGCACCGGTCAGGCTACATGGTAATACTAATAATGTGTGTAGTAGGAAGGGCCGCTCAAATATTCGAACTCTGTAGTGCAGTAGAAATAGACAATATAAAGCCAAAACAAAATAGAGAACATGCCAAGAAAAACAGAAGATGGTTGTCTCTAGGTTTTAGAAATGATGAAATAGCTTTTTGCAAAATGTGAATTATAAATAAAAATAATTAAATCTCCACTTTTCTCTACTAGTCTGACAATAAGCAAACATGAGTCATTTGAATTGAACCTTGTTGAACTGTAGCTATCCCACAATTAATTGTGTTTAAAAGATTTATGGAAGTTATTGAGTCCCATCTGTGGGCACAAAGTAAATGTAGATCTGTGTTTTCAGTGGCAAAGATTGGGACATGGATTCTAACTATTTTTGACATGTATAAATATACTTACTGTTGCTAGGCGCCTTGATGGTTGTCTTTAATTATTCTTTCCATTTAAAGTAGGCCAGGCTCATCTTGGTTGTTCTGTGAAACGAGTTTAATGTCATTTCACAGAATGCACTAGTATTACATACTTGTGCTTTTCAACCGGTTTTCTCATTTTGTTGTCATAGAATTGCTCTTAGGAAAGGAAATAAACTCTAATTGCACATTCTCGTCCTCATTTCCAGCCTCTCATACAGTAAGAACGGAGTGATCCGGATTGATGGCTTCTCCTCTCCTGATCAATATGATGAAGAGGCGCTCAGTCTCTGGGCTCCTGATGGTTATGAAGAAAACAACCTGGACCTGGAGACCTCTAAATACATCCTCAGCTACATTGGAGACAAATTCTGTCAGCTGGTTTTAACCGAGAATAATGCAACTACATGGATAAAGAAAGATGGTGTGTTATATACTGCCCAAAAAGCCTTTCCTATTTATTTAACAGCATCAAAACATACATGACCTCCTAAAACATTGTTATCAGTACACCGTTATATTTACAGCAGACTAAGTCAAAAGTGAGAAAGGAAAAAGAAATAGTGGGTGAGCTCTATGAATGTCCGTTTCATCCTTCTCCTGTTTGCTTTGCTCTGCAGCCAAGATCGCCTGGAAAAGAGCGGTGCGCGGAGTGAGAGAGAGCTGCGACGCATGTGAAGCCACATTGTTTAACATTCACTGGGTCTGCCAAAAATGTGGATTTGTGGTGTGTTTAGACTGTTACAAAGCCAAGGAGAGAAAGAGCTCCAAAGGTCAGTCGTCATTTTCATATTCACCTTTGAACACTGACTGTGCTTGTACTCACCTGCTGTTGATATGCAGTAGGCTCAACTGGACTGGAAAAATGCCCAGATATTTAAAATACTGGTGCAAAAAAAAAGTCTCTAGTTAATTCTTTTGCTTTTATTATTATTATTTACTTAATGTAACTGACTAAAAAATAATCAGTTATTATTATATAAATAATTTAAATGTGACAGAAAAAACAATTCACTAAACTTGGTTATGGTATTTACTGTTATTTAGTAAAAAAAAAAAAAGGCAAACTACAGCTACAGGTTTTATTTTACCATGCAAAAAAAATGCATGAAAAACGAAAAGCTCGCAGGAAGCATACATTGACTATAACATAAACATTGTGATTTGATGAAAGACAAAACAGTTCACTTTTTTGTTCAGTTTTTCATATAAAATAAGCTTAAAATACAATTAATAAAGACGTGTCATTTTTCGCTTTGGTTTGAATGGCAGCACTTGCGTGTGTGTGTGTGTGTGTGTGCCGTGCGATGTGGCAGTTGTTTTTGGACTGTCTAGCTCAGCTGTCTCAGGGGGTTGAGATGTGCTTCTGTCTCTTCCTCGTCTTTGTTCGCCTCATTTAAGTCCCTCATTCTTGCTGTCTTCTCCAGGCTTGAATTCTGCCGTAGGGCATAAAAAACCCTCCAGCTCTAGTGGTGTCATTTCTGCTGAATCACATCATCGCATCTTTTCTTAGAAGGCTCAGAGCTCCTTATTTACTTTGAAGCATAAACACCACAGCTCCTCTATGGGAAAATAGGCCAGTGACAGCGCCCTTCTCTGTGCGTGTTGTTGCTCTCAGTCTCTGTGAGTAATCCACTTTCTCTTATTCCGCAGATAAAGAGCTGTACACTTGGTTGAAGTGTGTCAAGGGACAGCCTCATGATCACAAGCACCTGATGCCAACACAGATCATTCCAGGAACTGGTACGGAAAGATATGCTTTCACTCTGTCGTGATCCCAGATTGCTTGTAGTTACGCCTTTGGCTGGAAGTAGAGAAATGTGCTTCTTTGACTTGTTTGTTTTGTCTGTGTTTTAGTTCTAACGGATTTGGTGAACGCTATGCACATGCTCAGGGAGAAGTACAGCATTAAATCACACTGCTCGTGTGCTGTGAAGCAAAACACCCTCTTCAACAAACTGCCATCCACCAATGGCGTCTCCCAGGTATGTGTATGTCAATGGGCAGACCATAGTCATAGTCATGCCATTTTGTAATTTTACACGAATGCAAACGGAGCTGTGAGGGATGTTTGGTTGTGGTACTGGATGTTTAGAATCAGTACACTTCAAAAATGATTTTCCTACTTTGTATATTTGTCTTGTGTTCCAATACAAATATCTAAAATTCATAAGGTAAGATGCTACAGGCATAGCACTGGTCAGTTTTGAGATTTTTGGTTTATATGGCTAAAAGATGCCAAACAAATACATTTTCATAAGAATTTTCATGTTTCGCCCTAATGGAAAGAAAATATCCAAAATACTCTTTTAAGGGTTTATTTTGTTGTACTTTATTTGTTGTACTATCTATTTGTTGTACTATCTATTTGCACCTTTAGATTAGCACCTTTCATATCTTAGAATACTATCTGGACATTTTCTCAAAATTAGTTTTTTCTCCTGCTTTCTTGAAATCTTCACTTCAGTGGCACTTACATACACCATACATTACAGTTTTATTCCTACCTGTATTCTAAAGGTTTTTACTTAGGTATTTGTTTATATATCATTTGCCTGATTTTATTTCAAAACTTATTTGACATTTAAAAACTTTTTTTTGTTTTGTTTTCTGGCTGTTGACAGTATTTTCTGATTATGTATGGAGTAATAAAAAATATATATATATCCAGAATCCCTTCCAGAATATATTTGCCTGTAATATGTCAACAAAATGAAACTTTGAACCTGAAAGTTTTTTTGGAAATATGCTAATTAGTGCATAGTTATTTATTTAATGTAATTTGCATATTTAAACATAAGATTTCAGAAAACTTTACATAATATACGTGGGTGCACTGTGTATAATTATTTTGCGTATATGTATATATATATATATATATATATATATATACACATGCTTGTATAAATTTAAGAAAAAAATTATTTATATAAAATATTTATATATAATATAAATTATATATAAATCTATATACAGTATATACATGAAAATATTTTTTAAATATATACAAGCATGTGTGTGTATTTATATGTATAAAATAATTATACACAGTGCACAAACATATATTATGTAAACACAAACTTTTATTTTGGATGTGATTAATCGCAATTAATCGTTTGACAGCCCTACTTGTAATACAATTTTTGTTATAATCAATTGGGAAAGTATGGTGATAGAGATTAGTTAATTTTTTTTTTTTTTTAATTATTCATCTGGGGTGTCTTGCCATAAATCAAGACTCTTGCCGGGTAATTCAAAGGGAAATTAAGTTTTGTCATTTTGCATTTTATGTAAATATATCTTTATTTTAGAATTTACTGGACAAAGATAAAAAGCAGTGCAATCTTAAGAGCCAAATATTGACAAAGGAATTGCTCCCATCACTATTATAATCATTTAAATTTGTTCATTTTAAAGGAATGGTATCGTACATACAAATGGAAATCTGCCTCAGCAATTTCTGTAAAATGATTCAGTCAAATGCTAAATCCAGTCATCACATGATAGGTTAATTCTGATCAGCGTGAGAAAAGTAATGGATACCATGTTACAACACTGTATGTTTGCAACTTCAGCAGTGACCTGGTGTGACTCAACTCAATTCTGTTCAATAGATTGCACTGTTGATTGTTCAGCCAGTAAAACATTAATACGTTTTGACAAACCGATCAGATGTGATTTAAGGCCTTAAGACAGTACATCCAATTGAGCAAACCATACATCTATCCCTCTCAGCCACATTTCCGTTCACATGAAATGAAACTGGGCATCAGCCTTGAGCACGCCTCATGAAAGTGTGTGCGCTCAGTGCAAACACAAACTCTCACACTCTCAATCACGCACCGATTTTCTCATTCTGTTCTGTGCTGGAATGTTGAATTCAGTCCTGGTTCATCTCTCAACCACTAAAAGTCCATAATATTTCCCCTCACTCCCCTCAAACTGCTGAGCTGTCTCTTACACACTCTTTCTTTTCACAGGTGTTGCAGAACGTGCTCAATCACAGCAACAAAATCTCTCTGTGTAAGCCTGAGGGCGGCCAGCAGAACTCCTCTCTGAAGCTGGAGGCCAATGGAGGGAGCAGTCCCGTCAGCGACACCAGCACTGACAGCAAGTTCACCCCGCCCGAGTCCCAATCGCCTCTGCACTTCCTGGCCGATCTGGCCGAGCAGAAGTCCCGCGAAGAAAAGAAGGGTGGGTACAAAACAATAAAAAAAGGTACGATTGAAGTTATTGGTAGCCAGGTGCCGGAGGTCTGCCAGCTGCCCCGTGTTTTTCCTTTCTCTGCGAGTGTGTGCGTGCTTGACAGGCCGCCAACATTCCACAATCCTCACATTTAGTGGTGTACGTTACAGGCCTTCTCAGTTGTGAGCTCCCACAGTCTAAAGAGCTCACCTAACCACATGTTTATCCAGTTCTTCAGCTGCTCTCACATGCCGAACACGCTGCTCTCTCCAAATGAACTGCACTTAAAAGACCATCAGCCCTGTGGTCGTTGGCACACATTCAGTTCAGTTTGTTGCCCAGTGCAGCACATTCATTTAGCAGCTGTGCTTAAGTTACATTTTTGATAAGTCTACATTTTTTGCGTTTTATGTCAGCTCTTAAAATATGTGATGCGATCTGGGAAAACCCACCACATAGTGAAATTTGACATATTACAGGTTTTGAGACCCTATTAAAGCTGGGTTCAAGCCCTTTCCAAATCTGATTTTATTTATTTTATCGTTTGTCTTTAATCAAAAGTTATGGTCATCTGAAGTTGGCTGATCGCTATGACTTTCAGAAATGGAATTTTGAGAAAAACAGGTTTAATTCACGGTTACGTCCTGCTAGCGGGATGACTGGCACTCTTTATTTATTGCCTTTTTTCATATCCCATATTTTAGTAATCATCATAGATTAGGTATCATTCGAAAGCTTACGAACTCAAAATTCAATCTGTGAAAATTGAGAGGCGAGCAAGGTCTTTTAAGCGAGCGGCTTCAAACAATGTTGTTCTCTTGTGCTCCGCATCACTCCACACGATAACGCTGGATAAAAATAAATCAATAAAAACGTGCGTGCTGTCACCCAGGACTGGACTTTATTCTGTTATGTGGTTTATTTTGATAGGTGAACTGTCTTTGTAGTGTTAAGAGAAGGAGAGCTATTATAGGGAGATATTGTTTTTTGCCCCTCCGCTCCGCCGTGCGGAAACAGTATTTTCAGCTGGCCATTGAATTACTATTGAATTTTCCCAAGATATATTCAGAAATGATAAACAAGATGTTATAGAATAATAAAAACCCAAAAAACTGACATTCAATCTATATTTAGACTTTGCTGAAAACGTACCAGCGTGACATCCAACGGGTTTTCCCAGATCGCATCACATATATTAGTATATTTTGCTTTGCTAGTTTTTTGAGCAGTATATTGTTCTCTGTACTTGAAAAAAGAGCCTACCCTCAAGTCTGTGATATCCTCTGCTGTTCTCTAGATATGTCTCATATCCCTTTTCAACCAGCAACATGATTTGAGGCATTTGAAGTGATAAATCTAATAGAAAAGGTTATATGTTTCGCTACTTGCATTTCATTGCAAATTTAAATCCTAATAAAAAGTCCTACTTAATCAGTTCTAACAAAATATTGAGGAAATGTTTTACCAAGAGTCCTACTATTTCTTATGACGTGAACACCTGTGCTTCTCTCCTGCAGAAAATAAGGAGTCACTTGTAGGGAAGATAAAAGAGGAGAAGGATCAGTCAGATCCTTTGGAGTCTCTGCACAGTAAAGCATCATCCCTGGAGCAGGGATCAACCCTACGAGACCTCCTCACCACCACCGCAGGCAAGCTGCGCCTGGGCTCCACTGATGCTGGCATCGCATTCGCTCCTGTGTATTCCACTGCCTCACAGGTCAGAGAAGCATCATCTACTGATCACACTCAAACAGAGAGACAGTATAGCATACAGAGATGGCAACATATACACACCCAATCAAAAGTATGCACAAGCTTGACTTTAAAAAGCTTTTACTCTAAAGGTTTATGATTAAAATGAGCCTTTTAGGAATTATTAGTAAAAGTAATAATAAGGAATGACTTGGCGTTTCATACTTTTGAATGGTGGACAATATAAATTTCCAAAAACTAATGTTCATTGTCCTAAAATAGCTTATAGTTTTGTTGTGTTCCACAGATTGTCAAGAGTGGTCGCAGCATGCCCAACATCCTGGATGACATCATCGCCTCTGTGGTGGAGAACAAGATCCCGGCGGGCCGTGGCACCAAGCTGAACCTGAAGCACGAGCCTCTGGAGGAGCCCAAAGCGGAGAAAAAGAAAGCAGTGGAAGAAACACCCAAAGTGTACGCTGACATCTCTCACTGCTGGCTTTACGAACGCAGGCTGCTCTGGCTCAAAGACCACCGCAATAGCAACAACTGGAAACTTTTCAGGGAGTGCTGGAGACAAGGACAGGTCCGTGAAACAAACCCACAAAAATACAGAATCTTACATTACGTTTTGTTCTGCTGGAGCGGATAAAAATGGGCAAACAATCGCCAAAACGGCAAACAAACCCCAATTCTCATGTAGTGTTTTGGGTCACTCCTCTTGAGGCTTTCCCACTGATATTATTGCTGCCACGATCATCCTAATAATTTTGTGTACCTCTCAGTGTTTTTGAAATTTGAAAACTCAAACACGCCAACCGTATTCCAAAATTTGTAATGAGAAATCTGTTATAGACAAGGTCGCCCTGTCGAAATTTTCACCAAATTAAAAGTTCTCTGGTTTAACATTTGAAATCAAAGAAAGTACTTTTTGCTTTTGTCTGGTAAAATAATAATAATTATTTTTATTTTAAATATACAATAAGAAAAAAATATAATATCACTATTTATGTAAAAAATTGGAAAATTATTTGGTTAGCACAATCTCTGCTACCGCTGGCTAGTGTCTCTGGTTTGTCTTACTTCAGTCTGCATTATATGTGCAGTGTGTGTGTCCAGAGAGAAAGGCGCCATACATTAGAGACCATTTATTCAGTTTCTACTTCACAAAGGCAATTATAGACATTGAGTGCTTTGACGCTTTCATAAGATGCCTCTTCACATGTGCTGCTCTAATGCAGAACATTTTAAGTGTGCATATGGGTACTTGACAATGAAATCTGTTTTACTCTAATGGACGGAAGGATACAGAAGAGGTGTGAGGTTGAAATCTTGAGGCATACATCCTTTTTCTCTAGTCCCTCATTAGCCCACATACCCATTGCTCCACTTTTTGCACCAAAAGGTGTGTGGATGCCATCTTATGGCGAGATTCAGTAATTAATTTGGCACAACACTTACAGTGCATTAGCTGCACACTCATTATTGAGGTGTATTAAAGGATTGAATGAATGCACTCAATATTGCCCACTATGGTTTTGTACATCACTTCAAATGGCTGTATAGTACCCTAGATAAGGGTATAGAGGGCGATTTTGGTTTTTGGACACAGCCTCTGTCTCTGCCCCTCTGGGTTTGAGCTGCACTTCCTTTTCCAAGATGACATTTATTGACATCTGCTCAGTAGACCATGACTTTACAGCTCTTCAGGAAGTAAACCGACATTATGAAATGTTGGTCTCAAAACATCGGCTTTCTTGGAAAACCTAAGCTGCCTATGTAGGCAGACTTTTAAGGTTCTCAATGCAAAGGTTGTTTCAATTTTAGAAAATTTCTGTAATAGTCAGACAGTATCGCAAATATACATCCCGGAGAAGGCAGTTCTAGAATAAAGAGAGCAGTGATCTCAGTGGAAAAATCCAAGATAGGAGAAGACATGAAAAAAGTCAGATGTTATGTTACTGTAAATTCGTATGAGATTGTCTGTGTTTATTTAGCTGCCTATGAAGTGCACACATGTTTTAGGGTGTACATAGACTTGCATGTGGATGTTTTTAGGCTGATCTGTTTTCAGGACTTTTGAGAAAAACAAATAATATTAAATGCTTTTTCAGTTTGCACAGTCAAGGCAGCAGTTTCAGTTTTTACTTACTTTGCCACAAATTATTGATCAATTGTTATTGGAACCAATATGACTTTTTTCTTCAAAAAAATATTTTTACAAAACTAATATTTGGAAATGGAGAAAAAAATTAAGCTGCGTTAATGTACATTTATATTTATAATGTAAATTCATATTTATGAAACCCAAAGCTCACTCAAAAGGGAAAATAACTGATCCCTCGACCGCCCGAAACACCAGTGTGCCATCCTTATTATTGAGCTCTGCAATGTCACAGACGCTAGTTTGGCACTCCGTTTGTAATAAACTCACAGATTAAGGCTTTTCAACAAATGCAATAGTCTTTAGCGTAATCCATCTTGCAATGTCTTTTTTTAACCAGACCTCATTTTTGTTTCCACTGTTTGAAAAGTAAGTCTTGGTAGTGTTTGTGATCTCCGCTGTCATTAAAAGGCTATTTCCTGTGCTGTTTTTGCAGCCTGTGCTGGTCTCTGGGGTGCACAAGAAACTCAACGCCAGCTTGTGGAAGGCAGAATCCTTCAACCAAGAGTTTGCTGATCACCAGGGAGACCTCTTGAACTGCAAAGATGGAGTAATGTCCAACTCAGGAGTCAAAGAATTCTGGGACGGGTTTGAAGATCTCACGAGTGAGTGATCTGAAGTAGACAAACAAGCATTTATCGAATGAATCTGTCTGTTTCCATTTATGCTGATCACTCTCTTTCTACAGAGCGTCCCAAGTCTAAAGATGGAGAAAGCGTGGTGTATCGACTGAAAGACTGGCCCTCAGGCGAGGAGTTTATGGCTTTGATGCCCTCCAGGTACCTCATGAACTTAGGAACACAAGAAGTAGATGTGCTAAGTAGTCATTTAGAAATTGGTTTAGGGGTTGTGAATGCTGTTTCACGACACCAAACATCTAATTCGTACATTCTGATCGGATATAGCTCTGTTTTAGTCTTGTTCTAGCATGTTTTGTGCGTCATCTCATTGTGTAGGTATGATGATCTCATGAAGAACCTCCCCATGCCTGAGTATTCAGACCCCGAGGGAAACCTCAACCTGGCCTCCCATCTGCCCTCCTTCTTTGTGAGGCCGGACCTGGGCCCGCGCCTCTGCTGTGCTTACGGTACTGTCTCTCTCACATACTCACAGGCAGATTTATTAGTAGCCTGCTATGTTTACTGTATTGTTTTGCTGTGGAAAAATGAACCATTTCATCAAAAATGATTTTGAATTACTGGAAAGATTATCATCAGATCTGTCATATTTTTAATAAAAAGAAAATGTGGCCTATTTTAGGACCGTTTAGATTTTTTTCATGATAATTACAAATATTGTGACATAAAAAAAGCTGACGTTACTGTAATGCAAAAATTTTTGTATACCATGGTATATCATTTTTTGTATTGCCTAATTATGCTTAATTTAAATGGGATTGAAATGAAATTATTGGGAATGAAAAACTGAAGCCTGCTTTGATAACAGTGACGTATGATCCATGTCACAGGTGTGGCGGCATCTCAGGAGCAGGACTTTGGCACAGCTAGCCTGCACATGGAGGTGTCTGACATCATCAGCGTTCTGGTTTATGTTGGAGTGGCTAAAGGGAATGGTGTCCTTTCCAAAACAGGTAAGCCTGAGACCAGCTTGCCACACAACTGTCAACAGCCTGTCCGTTAACTTGGTCAGCCGTGTTTGAGAAAGACGGTGAGGGAAAAGCCTCTGCTAGATCTGAATTGTTCCAAAAACCCCTGAGCTCAGAGAAAGGGAAAAAAAAAACCGGTTTCCACCCTGGAAACAATGAAATGTGAGAGAAGCATCTGGAATGAGTTTTCCATGCCTGTATATGGCAATAGCAGCACTGCTTTATATATTATGTTCTTTATTTTATATGTATAAGATATATTAAAACTTAGGCTAAGTTGCCTTGAATGTTTGCTGAGAACCGGTGCCATTGGTGATCACCTTTGACAATAAGCAAACATATCCTCATAAGTTATGACAACATGCATTCATCAAAGAGATGCAGCAAGACCTTATCGTCTGTTGTGTGCAAAAGCCGGCAGGTTTTGCCACTGTACCTTGAAGATGCAGTGTGTAAATGACTTATTTTATGATTGATTGTACTGGCATAGTTCACACTGACATTCATCAGTATGATTATGGTTGTGATTTCTGAACAACACTTTTTTTGTCTTACTTTCCGGTCTCATGCCAACAGCTGGTCCTCCCTTCTATTTTTCTTACTGCGATGGCCGTTCTATTTTTAAACCACGACAAGTGCTAGACGCGCACACACACACACACACACACACACTTCTCCATTAATGTTTAAACATCGCTCTGTCTTCAAGGAGGGAAGGCGCTCCCTTGCCTTTATAATAAATGAAGCTGACTGTGTGATGTGTTGTTTGCTGTGTAACCGCATGAATGTGTTTGTGCCAAACACACAGGAGTGCTGAAGAGGCTGGAGGAGGAAGACCTGGATGACAACGTAAAGAAAAGATTAAAGGACTCCAGCGAGACTCCCGGAGCCTTGTGGCACATCTACACGAGCAAAGACGGCGAGAAGATTAAAGAGTTCCTGCACAAGGTAATTTTGATTTGAAAATAATGCTTTGGATCACTGAGGCGACGCTCACTCCCTCTCTCTCTCTCTCTCTCTCTCTCTCTCTCTCTCTCTGTGTGTCCTCGTAAAACATTGCGTTCTTCTAGCACAAGGGAGTTTTATAGGATTCATTTCATTTGTTTGCAGGTATGTTGTGTGTGTACTGTTGATTTAACTCAAAGTTTGTACGTGACAGGTGGCGAAAGAGCAGGGCGTGGAGATCCCAGCGGATCACGACCCCATCCGTGACCCGGGCTGGTACTTGAGCCGTAAGCTGCGTCAGCGTCTGCTGGATGAACACGCCGTTCAGGGCTGGACTGTGGTGCAGTTTCTGGGAGATTCAGTCCTGATCCCAGCTGGAGCTCTGCACCAGGTCTCGTTGCACTCCTTCCTCTTCTGCAATGAGCAGATCATCATATGTTCTTGATTCTGAAGTATATATTTTAGTATTGATTATTCAGACAAAAAAAGCCCACTTGATTGACATGGAAAGCAACAAAGCCACACTTAATGTCTGAATGTCATTACTTCAAAAAATTACTTTATTCCTGTAAAGTCTGACATATGAAACCATAGAAATTCTGTCTTTTTTTTTTTTAATGGAACAGTTTATTGAACCTTTAGACAAAATATATATAACAAAATTGTGCATATATGTTGAGTATCATATTTGTTAGATCTGGCTCATATAGAATGATGTAGGAGAATATGGAGCTCATACAGTGAAAATACACTTTTTAATGCAGTTGCTGATATTTATATGGCCAAAAAGGAAGATGAGATTGTGATAGCAATGAGATTATAAGACTACTTGCATAAAATACATACAAATATCAGTTTTCATGCTACATCCCCCAGTAATATGTCTTTTAGTCAGATGATATTTAAATGCTTAGTTAATGATAAATATCCTGTAGTTTTTATTGCGGAGGAAAAACATTTAATGCAATGTAATACTATAATGATTGAGAGATGAACAAATAAAAGACCTCAAAAGCCTAATGTATCATTTGATACTAACATTTTAATGATTTTTTTTTTTTAATAATGTATGGATCATCAAGAAAACCTAAGTTGCTTCAGTCTCATCTTAAAATATTATGAACAATATATTTATATATATATATATAAAGATTTCACAGCAAAAAGACAGTTTTAGAATTATAATAAAAATGCCTTTGACTTGCCTTTGACTTTGATTGTAGACTGCTAGTAGGTTGTGTACAACAAAATTGAGGCTTTTTAGGAATATTTACATTTTATTTATTTGCAATTACACATACTGCATGTTATCAAGGGAAGGCGATGAACCAATCACAGGCACGCTTCCTCTTTCTGTACTAGCTAAAGTTCCAGTCAGAGTACCGGCAGCATCTTTATGATGTAGTCTCATCAGTGCACACTGTGTGTGTGTCTCATCCGTACAGGTGCAGAATCTTCACAGCTGTGTCCAGGTGATCAATGACTTCGTCTCTCCGGAGCATGTGGTGCATTCGTTCCACTTAACCCAGGAACTCAGATCCTCCAAAGAGGAAATCAACTACGAAGATAAGCTACAGGTAGAGTTCAAACGCACAGGACAGATCACTTCAACATTTACTGGAATCTGTTATATACTCCATATTTACGACATGAGGTCGCATGAAAGTTACAAATATCAATGTTCCTCGGATCCTTAAAAAGTATTAAAAATGTGTTCATATTCATTTTGGTCAAATTTAAGTTCATAAATATCAGCGAATGTCTAATTGAAGAGAATTGGCGCTGGCTGGTTACTTCCGGTTTCTGGACTGGCTGCAGTAACATGTCTCTGTCCATGCGGGGGCGCTCGTGGTTGAGTGCAGAATAAATGGGAGTCTGTGGGGTTTCACCCCCAGAAATCCACTTTTCCCAGAATGTAATTTTTTTGCCAAGTAATTTGAAAGTTGCATTCAAAAGGGAGGGTTAAGATAATACACTCAGCTGAAAATTGCATTTTTAAGTTCACTTATCTGTTCTAAAAATCCGTTCAAAAATGTGATGACAGAATGCTAGCGTGTTCCGGCCAACAACGGCCTAACCTGTAAGAAATCAAAAGGAAATAAGTGCTCGTTCATTCGACTTTTAGCCTATAACCTATATAGAACTTGCGGAATCAACAATAAAATCTATGTTGATTCAACAACAAGCAGGAGAAAGAGACACATTTAGCCGTTTAGCTCCATAGACTCCCATTCATTCTGCACTCGCCCGCGATCACCTCCAGTGGAATTCTAATGGAACTGCAACCAAGATGATACACAATGGGGCTAATAGGAAGTGCTAAGGCTCTCTGTTAGACGGGCTCTGTGACTATCTTAAAAAATTTTTAAGGGGCCAACCCCCGAACCCCCCCTCCCAAAAAAAAAAAACAAACAGAAATAGCATTTTAAAATAAGAGTCCCAGTGGGCCAGATGAGCATTCATCACTCTTCAATCTCTCACCTCTCATCCTGCCCTTTCTCTCAGGTCAAGAACATCTTTTACCACTGCGTGAAGAATGCCGTGGGAACGTTAAAGAGCTGCTGTGCAGAGGAGGAAGAGGAAGAGGAGACCAACTCATGACACCCGTCGACACGTTCCCCCAAATATGCACACTAACGCTCACACCGCAAACCTCCAGTGCCAAGCAGAGAAAAAACACACACCAGGAAACTGTATTTATTTGTTACCGACACCATAGCAGTATAGCCCATCAGGATGACCGTGACCGACACGCCACACACCTGAAGATAATCCGACAGCGCCGCTGTCACAACTAGTGTTTGTTCGTCTGTTTGCTTTCGTTCCCCTTTCGTTCTTTCCTACTGTATAGTTTCAGTGGAGAATCGTATTTATTTTCAGGAGTTCTGCTCTGTTCTCGATCAAATGTAAATGTGACCTGTACAGTTTGCTAATGGATTTCTGATGCCGCTCACTACTTTGGAGACTTGGAGTTACTGTGAGAGAGATCCGCTGTATCATGTCCTCATGCCATATCTTTTGAGAAAAAGAACTGCCAAACAATTGTAAACATTGTAAAGTTCTATAATGTAAAGAAAGACTTAATAAATAACACTTCAGCATTTTATTAAGAAGTATTCACTGTAAAATGGAGACATTTACAAAAAAAAGTTGTAATTTATTTAAGAAAACTCATTTCTCCTTTTTATGTTCAGATTTACTATGGTGAACTTTTGAAGTTCAATGGAAAAAGGAAATCGTACTATGCTGTGTAAATATATACATATATACATTCACTGATGTATTTTTTTAAACATGGCTTGCTTCAATTTCAAATTTTAAAGTGCAAGTGTTACATGCTTTGTACATTGAAGTTCAAAGGGGTTTTACATTTTCCATTAAAATGGATTTATCAAATATATGCCTGCCTTTTTGCCTTATTGACCAGCTGAAAGAGAAACACACAGACACACACACAGAGAGAGAAAGAGAGTTGTGTCTGACAGTGGTGTACAGAGGATGTACAGACAGCACACACTCCGCCTGTTGCTGTCTGGGTTCTTTTGGAAATATGTTTTAAACAAAAAAATGCATCACACTCAGAAATGCATTCGATAGGCCTACTGTAGCTTATTTCATCTAAAATGAGCATCGCTGCACAGTTCCCACGTTGTTTCTTCAGATTCACATAATCTTTTATCGGAATGTAACAAATTGCTCCATAAATTGCTGATGTTTTCTAGCCTGACTTTGTCATACTCATATTCTAGTCTAGAGCCTCCATTTTGGCACTCGGGTCTAAGTCTCGTGGCCCTCTATCAGAATCCAGAGTTTCGAGAAGATTGGAGAAACTTAATTTTTCGCCCCGAAAAAAAAAAACGAAAGGGGTACCACTGTCGTTTTTTTTTTTTCGGGCCGAAAATTTGAGTTTCTCTGATCTTCTCAAAACTCTGGATTTTGGGGGTCTAGATAATCCAGAGTTTTGAGAAGATCAGAGTTTCTTTAATCTTCTCGAAACTCTGGATTCTGATAGAGGGCCACGAGACTTAGACCCGAGTGCCAAAATGGGGGCTCTAGACCCTTCCAGAGCTGAGATATTGAGATATTTATGTAAGGGTTAATGTCCGAAGAGGTGTCCATTGTCAGGTTTTAAAGTCCATTAAGTCCTGACAATGGACACCTCGGAGGGCATTGACCCGCTTATACCATGGTCACTTGCCAAATAAAACATTTTTAAAACATCAGTTTATATTTTAATTAGGCTAAATCTAGATTTACAAATAATAACTTGCCTGACGGTTTATTTAGCAACTGGAGATATTTATAGTCCGCTCAGCTTGGTTGTCTCGACAGCTGCGTAAAACTCCCGCAGGGACTCATTCAGAGCAGCAGCGGTGTAATTTTCAAAGCTGGAGTCCTGGAGTTGGAGTTTTCTTTTTTTTTTAATAAAGTCTCTGAGTGTATTTATGAGACCTCAATGAGACTTAAACCTTAGCGCAAAAATGGAGGCTCTAGACCATTCCAGAGCTGAGATGTCGAAACTCAAAATTTCAACCCGAAAAAAAAAAACGACAGTGGTACCCCTTTCGTTTTTTTTTTTCGGGCGAAAAACGAAGTTTCTCTAATCTTCTCAAAACTCTGGATTCTGATAGAGGGCCATGAGACTTAAACCTGAGTGCAAAAATGGAGGCTCTAGACCCTTCCAGAGCTGAGATATCGAAACTCAAAATTTCGACCCGAAAAAAAAAACGACAGTGGTACCCCTTTCGTTTTTTTTTTTTCCGGGCGAAAAATTAAGTTTCTCCAATCTTCTCAAAACTCTGGATTCTGATAGAGGGCCATGAGATTTAAACCTGAGTGCAAAAATGGAGGCTCTAGACCCTTCCAGAGCTGAGATATCGAAACTCAAAAATTCGACCAAAAAAAAAAACGACAGTGGTACCCCCTTTCGTTTTTTTTTTTTTTCGGGTGAAAATTAAGTTTCTCCAATCTTCTCAAAACTCTGGATTCTGATAGAGGGCCATGAGACTTAAACCTGAGTGCAAAAATGGAGGCTCTAGACCCTTCCAGAGCTGAGATATCAAAACTCAAAATTTCGACCCGAAAAAAAAAACGACAGTGGTACCCCTTTCGTTTTTTTTTTTTTTCGGGCGAAAAATTAAGTTTCTCCAATCTTCTCAAAACTCTGGATTCTGATAGAGGGCCATGAGACTTAACCTGAGTGCAAAAATGGAGGCTCTAGACCCTTCCAGAGCTGAGATATCGAAACTCAAAATTTCGACCCGAAAAAAAAACGACAGTGGTACCCCTTTCGTTTTTTTTTTTCGGCGCGAAAAATTAAGTTTCTCCAATCTTCTCAAAACTCTGGATTCTGATAGAGGCCATGAGATTTAAACCTGAGTGCAAAAATGGAGGCTCTAGACCCTTCCAGAGCTGAGATATCGAAACTCAAAAATTCGACCCAAAAAAAAAACGACAGTGGTACCCCTTCGTTTTTTTTTTTTGGGCGAAAAATTAAGTTTCTCCAATCTTCTCAAACTCTGGATTCTGATAGAGGGCCATGAGATTTAACCTGAGTGCAAAAATGGAGGCTCTAGACCCTTCCAGAGCTGAGATATCGAAACTCAAAATTTCGACCCGAAAAAAAAAACGACAGTGGTACCCCTACGTTTTTTTTTGGGGGAAAAATTAAGTTTCTCCAATCTTCTCAAAACTCTGGATTCTGATAGAGGGCCATGAGACTTAAACCTGAGTGCAAAAATGGAGGCTCTAGACCCTTCCAGAGCTGAGATATCGAAACTCAAAATTTCGACCCGAAAAAAAAAACGACAGTGGTACCCCTTACTTTTTTTTTTTGGGCGAAAATTAAGTTTCTCCAATCTTCTCAAAACTCTGGATTCTGATAGAGGGCCATGAGACTTAGACCTGAGTGCAAAAATGGAGGCTCTAGACCCTTCCAGAGCTGAGATATCGAAACTCAAAAATTCGACCCCAAAAAAAAAAACGACAGTGGTACCCCTTACGTTTTTTTTTTCGGGCGCGAAAATTAAGTTTCTCCAATCTTCTCAAAACTCTGGATTCTGATAGAGGGCCATGAGACTTAGACCTGAGTGCAAAAATGGAGGCTCTAGACCCTTCCAGAGCTGAGATATCGAAACTCAAAATTTCGACCCGAAAAAAAACGACAGGTGGTACCCCTTACGTTTTTTTTTTTTTTGGGCGAAAAATTAAGTTTCTCCAATCTTCTCAAAACTCTGGATTCTGATAGAGGGCCATGAGACTTAGACCTGAGTGCAAAAATGGAGGCTCTAGACCCTTCCAGAGCTGAGATATCGAAACTCAAAATTTCGACCAAAAAAAAAACGACAGTGGTACCCCTTACGTTTTTTTTTTTGGGGGAAAAATTAAGTTTCTCCAATCTTCTCAAAACTCTGGATTCTGATAGAGGGCCATGAGACTTAGACCTGAGTGCAAAAATGGAGGCTCTAGACCCTTCCAGAGCTGAGATATCGAAACTCAAAATTTCGACCCGAAAAAAAAAACGACAGTGGTACCCCTACGTTTTTTTTTTGGGGGGAAAAATTAAGTTTCTCCAATCTTCTCAAAACTCTGGATTCTGATAGAGGGCCATGAGACTTAGACCTGAGTGCAAAAATGGAGGCTCTAGACCCTTCCAGAGCTGAGATATCGAAACTCAAAAATTCGACCCGAAAAAAAAACGACAGTGGTACCCCTTACGTTTTTTTTTTTTCGGGCGAAAAATTAAGTTTCTCCAATCTTCTCAAAACTCTGGATTCTGATAGAGGGCCATGAGACTTAAACCTGAGTGCAAAAATGGAGGCTCTAGACCCTTCCAGAGCTGATATATCGAAACTCAAAATTTCGACCCGAAAAAAAAAAACGACAGTGGTACCCCTTACGTTTTTTTTTTTTGGGCGAAAAATTAAGTTTCTCCAATCTTCTCAAAACTCTGGATTCTGATAGAGGGCCATGAGACTTAAACCTGAGTGCAAAAATGGAGGCTCTAGACCCTTCCAGAGCTGAGATATCGAAACTCAAAATTTCGACCCGAAAAAAAAAACGACAGTGTGTACCCCTTTCGTTTTTTTTTTTTTTGGGGCGAAAAATTAAGTTTCTCCAATCTTCTCAAAACTCTGGATTCTGATAGAGGGCCATGAGACTTAAACCTGAGTGCAAAAATGGAGGCTCTAGCCCCTCCAGAGCTGAGATATCGAAACTCAAAAATTCGGCCCGAAAAAAAAACGACAGTTACCCCTTTCGTTTTTTTTTTTTTTCGGGCGAAAAATTAAGTTTCTCCAATCTTCTCAAAACTCTGGATTCTGATAGAGGGCATGAGACTTAGACCTGAGTGCAAAAATGGAGGCTCTAGCCCCTTCCAGAGCTGAGATATCGAAACTCAAAAATTCGGCGAAAAAAAACGACAGTGGTACCCCTTACGTTTTTTTTTTTGGGCGAAAAATTAAGTTTCTCCAATCTTCCCAAAACTCTGGATTCTGATAGAGGGCCATGAGACTTAGACCTGAGTGCAAAAATGGAGGCTCTAGACCCTTCCAGGGCTGAGATATCGAAACTCAAAAATTCGACCCGAAAAAAAAACGACAGTGGTACCTTACGTTTTTTTTTTTTGGGCGAAAAATTAAGTTTCTCCAATCTTCTCAAAACTCTGGATTCTGATAGAGGGCCATGAGACTTAGACCTGAGTGCAAAAATGGAGGCTCTAGCCCTTCCAGAGCTGAGATATCGAAACTCAAAATTCGGCCCGAAAAAAAAAACGACAGTGTACCCCTTACGTTTTTTTTTTTGGGGCGAAAAATTAATCCCCAAAACTCTGGATTCTGATAGAGGGCCATGAGACTTAGACCTGAGTGCAAAAATGGAGGCTCTAGCCCCTTCCAGAGCTGAGATATCGAAACTCAAAAATTTCGGCCCGAAAAAAAAAACGACAGTGTACCCCTTACGTTTTTTTTTGGGCGAAAAATTAAGTTTCTCCAATCTTCCAAAACTCTGGATTCTGATAGAGGGCCATGAGACTTAGACCTGAGTGCAAAAATGGAGGCTCTAGCCCCTTCCAGAGCTGAGATATCGAAACTCAAAAATTCGGCCCGAAAAAAAAAAAACACAGTTACCCCTTACGTTTTTTTTTTTTGGGGCGAAAAATTAAGTTTCTCCAATCTTCCAAAACTCTGGATTCTGATAGAGGGCCATGAGACTTAGACCTGAGTGCAAAAATGGAGGCTCTAGCCCCTTCCAGAGCTGAGATATCGAAACTCAAAAATTCGGCCCGAAAAAAAACGACAGTGGTACCCCTTACGTTTTTTTTTTTGGCGAAAAATTAAGTTTCTCCAATCTTCCAAAACTCTGGATTCTGATAGAGGGCCATGAGACTTAGACCTGAGTGCA